ATATATATATATATATATATATATATATATATATGAAAACACTACAACACATCTATAGGTGAAGTTCTACAGTACTTCACCTACAACTTTATCACCATCAAAATTTCATCACACAGCTACAGATGTCTGATAATATTTAAAAATTTAATATTGTTTTACAAATCATTATGAGAAATTTTGTAGATGTGTGCGGGTTAGGAGGCGCACCAGAATAAAATATAAAACAAATAATTTGGATGATAAAATTAACCTAAAATACCCTTATGAAAATTTAGGGGCATTTTTATCATTTTATTTTTTACTACTATTTTTTAAATATTTTATTTTGGTGCGAATTGGTCATAGGTATATACGCCCTAAATTTTAGATAAATTTGATTTTTAAAATATTTATTAAAATTCAATTACTATCAGACAACCGTGACCATGTTTGAACTTTGAATGATGATGAGTGTAGGTGAAGTACTATAGAACTTCAGCTATAGGTATTTTGAAGTGTTTTCCATATATATATATGTGTGTGTGTGTGTGGACCATTTATTTGATCCAATTTTTGAAATATGTACTCTTTTTATTTTAATGAACAATCATAAAAATAAAAATTTGAAAATGGAACCTAGAAATTATTTTTTTAGCATAATTAACATAGGCCGTCCATTTTGATAAGATGCTTAGACCTAGACCCTAGAAAGATTTTTTATTTTCTATTTTTTTTAGATGTCTTTACTATCATTAGATGAGCAATGTTAAGAAATAAAAAAATGATTTTGAGTTTGTAACGGCTAAGATCTTGAAATTCACCAAATAAATAGCCTAGATTTATTGTTGGAGGGGACTACGTTTTACTATATCTAGAGTTCAAATTGAACTTTATTTTTTATTGATTATTGAGATGAAAAGAGTGTGTACAAAATTTTGGATCATACAAATACCACAAACATGGTTTTCTAGAAGTGTGATTGCTTTACACTATGATACAACCGTTGCATGAAATCACTACCATATATATATATATATATATATATATATATATATATA